CCCCTCCCCCTCCCCACTAATCATGCATCTTTCAGAACTTTTTTAGCAGATTATATACTACCTCCTCTTTCCCCTGCTCTCCTCTCCTTTCTTTCTTTCTTTTCCCCCATCTTGAAATATTGAAGTATCTGTTAGGGCAATACATTTGTATCCCATCACTGACTGTTTTGCAAATGTTTTTTTGCCAGCACAGACTGTTTTAGGTGGTTGCATATGTTAGTATTAGTCTCTTACAGGTGAGAGTGACAGTGTTGTACCAGCAGTGAGTGAATCAGAGTTGGTGGAGGCAACTGTTGAGACCTGCTCTGTGCTGCTGACAGTACCCTTCTCCTTGTGTGCTTTTCCTACCCGGGGGCAAGCTGATTAAAGCAGCTCACATCATCCCTGAGCTTGGTGCTCGTGACTAAAAATTCATACATTGGCTGACAAATTACACCAAGTCAAATGTACATTTAAAGTTACTTGAAGCACTTTCTTGGACAACTGCCCTTCCCAGTTCATTATTTGGGCAGTCTTGTACCATCTGTCTAAGCCACAAGCCCAGCTTACTGCAGCTGGGTCTTCATTAATAGAATCTCAAGATTCAGTCTTCATGCTGCAAAGTTTGGATGGTGATTAGCATCTCATACTGTCTTGGGCAGGGTAAGAAAAATCACAGTAGTGGAATTTCTGAAGCTTGTATTTGCTTCACAGCATCAAAAACTCGTATTTCTATAGAATAATGCAAAATGTGATACAGGAGGAGTCTATTTCAAGTTAATTATTAGGAATATCTTGAATCTTGAGTAAAAGTCCAAAATCTTAACAGAGAAGTTGCAGGCATGAAAATGGATCCATTGATAGATGGATCTATCTACTAACTAATTTAGTAGTTTTTTCCTCCTTGAAATGAAACAGAACTTACTCTAATGTAAGCCTGCAAAGTCTTGTGGAATATTTTACGGTCACAGATTTAGAGTATGTCATCTCCACATGTCTTTTCATGGATCACTACACTGGGCAGATGTCAACCAGGGTGCTGGAGTTCAAGTCCAGACTTGCAGGACCGGTCAGCTCTCCCGCTCCAAGATGCTCCTCTACATGCTTATGGAACATGAACACATTCAAAAAGCTGAAGACATTAAAAAAGCTCCTGCCACT